TAGCGTTGTAAGTCCGCAGACATACCGCCGTGCCACTGGGGGGCGTCAGAATGTGTAATATTATAACTATCATAAGGCAAAAATTACTATGACAAGATAACGTAAATCACTCTCCTCGGTTTATTGTTGTACAAATGAAGGATCTGGTGGCTAGTGATGTGATCTGAAATGCAAATGACTGGTCATTCAGACCTTTACGATATATATATACTGGTCTGACACAGTCTTACGTAATCTGACACAATGAAAGATACTGAAGTGTTAAAAGTACTCTAAGTTGTCAATTAATTATGACTAGACCTCAAGGAACACATTTGTTTAACACATGTAGACAATCATCGATTGAAAGGAAGTCGGCTAATCAAAGCAGACTTGTGATGAATTACTATAAATGTATCAAAGTGTTATTAGCAGAATATGTAAAATCACTTACGCATCAATGATACAAAGACACCAAAATAAAACAAATCATCATCCATAACACAAGGAAATGACTGTTTTCTGCTGATTCTGACTCGCCACAATCAGTGGATACGTGTTGTGAAACTGAATAAAATGTTTAAAGCTGCAACTGGTCGCTATATTAGAAACGCATTCCAGAGGAGTGGTTTATATAGTAGATGCTCAATAAGGTGCAGCTGCTCGCAACATTGTACATATATGTTCGTCTGCACTGGTACTAAAAACAAGTCCAGTCAACCAACGATTTGTGAAGCAGTTTTCTGTTTTTATAGGTAAGTCACGCTTCACACTGTAGCTCGATAATAGGCGTATATTCATTTGGACAAAATCTGGAAAATATCAATCCAATTTTTATAGGAGAGATCGTCACATGTAGTGGTGATGGAAGTATGATCTAAGCAGGAATATGCTTGGTAGATATACCAAACTCTACATCTTGTGTAATGGCCCCATTAATGCCACATGTAATGGGAACTATATCTTATGACCACCCTTGTGTTGACAAATGCTCGTATAATTGGCCCTAGCATAAGTTTAATGGATGATATTGTTTGTTTTATTTTGCTAAGCTTTTCGATACACTCCTTGAAGAAAAAGGTATCAGCACAAAGGAGTGGCCTGCACTTTCATTTATTCTCATCGAACATTTTTGAAATACACTTGGGAAATGTACTGCATCCCGTCAAATGAATCCAGATACTAAAGCTCTTTGAAGATAACTTTTTTCAAAGAAGTGGTTGACGAAATTTCATGGCCTTATCAAGAGTTTATTTTTATGTATGTAACGCTAGTGTCAAAGCTGTGCTTGCTCTTCATTGCTGCAGTGAAATGTCATGAACTGTAAAGATTTTAAAGTCACCTCTTCCAAATATTGATTTGAGAGTGTGAGCTAAATGACTAGTTATCATTACAATAATATAAATTTTAACTTTTCATTTATTGTTTTGTGTATTGTATATTTGAGACGTATAGGAATTTAATATAGAACACGTAATAACTGTATGGCTGATACATATAAAATGATATAATAATGGTAATTCTAGGGAAAAAAACATTAAAGTATACAAGCCGTTTACAGACCAGAGAGAAAGCTTTTGGGCTACTCTTGTCTGACTGGATAGTATGATTTGACTGTCACTTTTATAGCACACTTATAGCCCAATGTTCGAAGTGCCTTTTTTTTTATGCGAGAAGGGAACATGAACTATGAACTTTCGGATTCACAGTAGAGAAACACTAATCACTAGGCCAAGAGAAGACCTATTGAAATATACTGAGATCAAAGATTGCCGAACATTCATCCAATTGATCCTTTACATGTTATCACAAAATTCCACCATCAGTGAAAATATTTCGTATGAGAACGAAAAAGATGTCAAATTTTTGAACCCTATGGACGATAATCGTTTTTTTTTTTAATTTGAACAACGGAATTGACTATATATTTTTAACATCCATTCTGCAGGTCAGGGAGACATGTTTGTTGTGTTGGTTCCCAAACAAAGCTTTCAAGTACTCTCTTTTATGACATTCTTAAAAGAGATTTGAAATCCCTGTGATATCAGAAATCTGAATAGCCTACCAATGTGGCACTAGTTTTCAGTCTTTGAGATAGTAAAACCCAAACACCCATCCAAAATTCCATACGAAACACAATAGTAGCCACACATGTTGCGCAATACAAGATCTGGTTCCTCGGCACTCTAACTAAGGCCGTTTTCTCCTTGGCTTTGTAGAGAAAGGCTCAACTAAGCTTACTTGCCGCTTAGAAGTGCGGAACCTACTTGAACATGAACACTTCTAATTTGTGCAACAGGAACACAATCTGGCCATGCCCCTAACCTCGTCATCTTTGTGGCGGAACACTAGTGAGAGATTATTTCTTTTGACAGAAAAATGTAATTTTTTGATATTAACATAACGATTTTTTATCGGCATACATTTTGTTTTCCTAATTCGCCGACCGAGAACCGTGACATCCATTTGTAACCCAATCAATATTCTAAATTCCGTCTCCGTGACACGCAGACTGAGTGTTGAAATAACAGTGACTGATAATGTTTTTGGTACTGTCTGCCTCTCGTGAAAAAAAATAGTATGCGCCATTTATTTGAGAAACTCGTTATGAATGAGCAACGGAAAGCAAATATTCCATCTTATAGATAAATTTTATTACATTTAACACATTTAGTATGGATTTTTTATGTGGCATCGCGTTTGTTTGACCGATTATTATGTATGTAAAGAGAGTTTCGGCACACTAAAGTTAATAGGGATTTCATTTTATCAGCATTTATTTAGTTTATTGTAAAGTAGAACAAATCTCACAAAGCTGCAAAGACCTAATTGTTTACATTTCTTGTTCGCCACATTTTTGACTAAGCCACGAGAAGAAGCAGTCTAAAGCAGACCTTGTAGTTTTAAACTCTGAAACACCTGCCAAGATGAGGCTGAAGTACGAAGCACGTAAGTGGTATATTTGTTTGCTAAACTACCAAACTTAAGAAAAAATTTAAATCTATCTATCTGTATCAAAAAGTAATTAAAGCTCACAATGAATAACATATCCCATATTAGCTAATAAGTTTTAACACAGAAATTCAAATTATTTTAACCTTATTGTCAAGGCAGCTAAGTCAGTGAAAAATATTGATATCAAACAAAGCTTTTTGACGACTTTAATTGGAAATCTTTGCCTAAAGTAACCGAAAAGATAACAGTTTGTCTATTAATTAATATGAACTGCATAAATAAAAAAATTCTGTTTACTTTTCAACAATAAGTTAAAAAGAAATCATTTTATTATAAATAAATTTATATATTTTGATGCAATCTATTTGAAATAGTTATTTACTAATACAAGTAGTAAAGTAACAGACAGATTACAACGAAGAAATAATTTTATATTTTCAGTTCCCTATATTGAGAAATACTTGGTTTTGGATACAGATTATGACAATTATGCTATAACATGGTCTTGTTTGGAGTTACTACCGAAAAGGAAGTTTAGGGGTAAGAGGAGATTAATGACGTTCGTTAAACATGAAATGCAAACATCAGCTAATCTAACCGATATAAACGTCAGTGTGCCACGCCATGCACCGTCGGTCGATTTATCTAAACAGCAAGAGTCATAAAAGCCAAAATGCATTTATCCAGGTAGAATAGTTCGATTACTGTCTGGCCATTACGACTGACAGGGGTGCAAGGGAGCCGTGAGGGGGGAGGGGTGCCTAATCGATGCTAATATTGTTGTTAGTCTATGTACTGAATGTATAAAATGAAATCTATAGGCAAAAAGCAACAAAAAAAAACCTGGAAAAATATTTGTTGCTTTCTTAATTTAGAGTCTCCGTTGATTAAAAAGGTTTGTTTCGTATTAAAAACGTTGGAGATATAACAGAAAATAGCTTAATTCAGAAACGATTTAAATTTAAACTTGAATCGATATTTCTATTTTCATGGTAAATTTTATGCCCACTACGTCTTTACTTTAGGCTTATTATATCAACACTTACTACACTTATCTAAATCGTAATGGGCAAATATTAATCGAAATATTTTTATCGGGATAAATGCATTTTGACTTTTATGCATGCGTAACGTGACACACACTGGCTTTTGTATAGATTAGATATAGTCACATTGAACATCATTCTCAGATTTATTCTGGAAAAACAGAGCTAATCATAATGTAGATATTTGCTTTGCCATTATTTGTAAAATTTTAAAATATTTTACTCATACATTAATTTGCTTAAAACTATATGTTCGGATTAGCTATCGGTTTTAGTAATTGGATAACCTTGTTATTTATGATAGGCCAACGTTTATGAAACTAACTTGGTTTGTTTGGTAAGAGAGAAGGACATTTTAAAAGGTCATTATTTATTGATAAAGTACAGCATAACATAAACAAAACAAACATATGCTAACGTATGATATCACTCTTGGAATTTATACCAAGAGAGAAGGTACAAAGATAAAAAAAGTATTCTCAAAACACTGTTTTTATAAACTATTTAGGTCAAACCTACCTTTATCTGTCATTTCACGGTTCTTTACTCAACTTAGTTCATAGTTCATTTTTAAGTTTTTTGTTATTCTACATTAATGCTATTTTGTTAACTACATGACTTTAAATCAGTATACTACTTTTTTGCTATAACTTTCACAATGATTAATGATTATTATCAGGGTATCTATTACAGAGATCACATTATGAGTATTAGTTTTTCTTAATGATTTTAGATAAAAAATGTCATTATTTGTACCGATTGACACAAAGAAAATATAAAATATTGATTATCTGTTTCGTCAAATGTAGTACTAAATTATAAATGTAATTCTTACTACATAAATGTCACGTAACTTTTGTTCTTAAATATAAGTGCCAACTCCATTGTATGAAATATTGTTTCTTTAATTAATTCATCCAGACTTTTATAGATAATATACAAATATCATTTGTTAACGTCATAAGATAGGAAATACTAATGCAATAATCACCAAATATCAGTTTCACAGTTACTTTTTATATTTATTTTAAACTTAAGAACAGGTTTTCTTTGTAAGTTTTTTTTTTTTTTTTTTTTGATTACGTACCAGCAACATTAGAATTGGAATTATCAAAAACTTTATAACTTTGTTGTGAAAAACATTTATAAAAAATAACTCATATTTTATATTCATTTATTTTTTCCATGTCATATTTATATTAATTTGGTTTTATTAAACATAAAATTTAAATATATATTTCAGAAATTTTGACTATCTTCGCTCGAAAACCCAAGATAAGCCAAGAGCTCCAGAAATTCCTGAATGATTTTGTAGTAAAAAGGCATATAAATACGATTCTTTTAACTGGAATTAATCAAGACAATTGTCCTGAATCATAGACTGACCACGACATTTTGTGTTACTTATTATTCAGCGTAATAAGTATGTTTTCATGCAGTTCTGTTTCCGAATCTCATATTTATATTAAAAATGCTTTTCCGGAGTTTGTAATTTATCTGAGGAGAAAAAATATATACAAAAAGCAAAATAAAAAATATATTACTTCACTTTCACAAACGTATCAAAATTACCTGTAGGAAATGTGTTATTGATTTCGATATTCAATATCATTAATATTATGTACTACAATCTTTTATTTTAATTGCTTACATACCCTAACATTAGTTTCAAATATTTTGATTTTCCGAAAACATATTTTATATAACTGATATTTGCTGTGTTTGATAACTTCCAATTTTTATGTTTACCAGCAGTGCTCTATTTATATAGGTAACGACTGTATTATTTATTTTTTTACACAAAAATTTACCATTTATTAGAGAAATGATGCTAGAGGGCTGAAGCCTTCTCAGAAAGTAAATCTTCAGATATTCCTCATACGAAACATTCTACGATCAAACTAAACTGAAGTTCACATATTCATCTTAACAAATCAAAAGCATTAAAGTTGTCACGTAACGTGTATTCTTTGTGTTTATAATTTTGCCACATTTGTAAATATTACATTATATTTAAAGTTTTGTTATATTAAAGTATATAATATTACTTGCAGTGTTGGCGTAAAACGTATGTATGGGCAGGAGAGCGGTTTTTTGATTACTCGTATATTAATAAAAGGTATAATATTATTAAAAGTACTATAACTGTTTACGATATTTACCATAACACTGTGGCACTGTTAAATTTATTTGAAAGAACCAAATAATTAGTCTAAACTTTAAAACAACAATTATTGTTTTAGTTTTGTGTCTTATTGCATTCTCTTAGTAATTCGTTTCGTTTACAGTTGTCACATAATTGTATAAGATAACAACTACTTTACAATTGCTGGAAACAGGAATTTTCGAAGTAGAATGGATGTGGCTTGAAAGTTTTTTTGTTTTTTTTTAACTTTAATGGTTACACATTTTGGCAGAGCGACAGTCATCTTCAGGCTAGTCAGCTTTATTTCTAGCAGGGTGGTTAGCCTTTGGAATAGGTTACCTTCAGGTGTGGTGGGTGAAGTTAATTTAAAGGAGTTCAACGAAAGGCTTGATAGATATTTGAATGATAAGGGCTAGCTTTGACTTTTTTAGCGTTTAGTTTAATTTTTATTTGAAAGTTTAGTTTAGCGGATGTGACGGCCTAGATGGAACATTAGGTCCCTTGTTGTCTATAAATTATATGTCCATCTATGTTAGTAAATGAGGACATTTGTGCATTGACATGATTATAGTTTTATAAGAATAATCATTTGTGATACTACTACAGTGAGAAATGCAGTGCCATCACGATGATTATATGCCAGGAAGATCATACATATGTATTGATCTTGCTCCAGTGACACCGTCGTGCCCCCCAGTGGCACAGGGGTATGTCTGTGGACTTATACCCCTATAAACCGGGTTTCGATACCCGTAGTGGACAGAGCATAGATAGCCCTTTGTGTAGCTTTGTGCTTAATAATAAATAACCAACCAACCGACACCGTCGTATTCCTTGTTTGCTCTTTATTTTATTTCAGCCGTTTCTACATAGATTAAATACATAAAACTATATGATGCAACTCCCCAGATTGTGATGGGTTTATCAACAATCTCAGAAATGACTTCTTTCGTTTCTATCTATTTTCACATCTCGAAAAATTTTCTTACAAAAATATAAGCTAAATAAAAAATTGGGAATTTAAAAACCTGTAAATAGAGATCATAAAAAAGTAAGGAAACAAGGCTGTAGATACTGTAGACATTATTTATCCAAACTACAAACCCTATTTTTCGCTCAACGCTGTTACCTAGAATTACATTTGGTGAAGTCAAAAAAGGAATTTGTAGTTTGAGTAAATAATGTATACAGTATCTTTAACTTTGTTTCCTTACTTTTTTACGATCCCTAATGTCTACAGTATCTCTAGCTTTGTTTCCTTACTTTTTTACGATCTCTATTTGCAGGCTTTTAAATTTCCAATTTTTTTATTTACCTTGTTGGCTGGCTTTTTTATGCTCAACTATGGGCAAAGGATTACTTGAGTAGTTAACTTTATACACTGTAATGATAATAAACATAGCTAATAGCTAGATGATTCACTGTAGCTATTGGCTATTTGATCGCATTAGTTTGAGATGTAAAATGTTAAGCTGCAGCTGGAGATTTGTTTGAGAATAAAGTGAGCATTTACTGTTTCTGTGTAACTAAATTATCTATATATACTGCATAGTAATGGATAAATATATGCTTACACTAAGACACAATCCCCCTCTAAGCGCGTATAAAATTTTACCATTAAAAAAGCAGCCTTTTCAAGTAACACATATACGTCTAAAACATCGCTTAAAATAAATCTTCTTGTCTTTTAAAGTAATTATTCTACAAATCTGTGTAATAAAATTTGATATTATGTGCATTATTTTTTTACTCTTTCACTTCATACATAATATAGGGGTTGGCTACCTAAAGACACCGACTGTATAGTGTACAAACCATTGAGTTTCTACATGTTACAGTCATGTAATGTTCATCCATTATTGGCTGGTAATTCCCGTTTCAGCCAAGTAAAGCTTTTGAAAAGAACATCAGATGTTCGTAAGAAAGCTAACTTCAAGGGGTAATGATAACATCGTTTACACTAGAATTATGATGTTTTTAGCTCATGTAAAATATAGAAGAAACTAATCAACTTTCAATACCACTACGACATTCGCAGTAATTTATTTAGTATTCTACAAGCGGTTTGTGTGCAATATACCAAGCCGTTTTTATTGTAGGCTGGCAAGAGAATAATATTTAAAAGAAGAATTACAAACGGACCGTTTTGAGCGGATTTTCATTTCCTTGAAAGTCTAACATGTGTGCTTTTTAATGTATACAGTGTTAGCAGTCAATAATAAATATTTACTGTTTAAGGTGTTTTTTGCTCGAACGTTCTATGAGAGTTTTGTGGTTCATGATATTTCCCGAAATTATTTTAATAAGTAGACTTAAATCAGAACTAAATTAAACGAATAGTGCTGCAGAAGTATTTTTACTATTATAGATTTCTCTGCTTGTCATATACATTGTTGGTTTTTGCTAATCATAGTATCACACGAAAATGAATTTAATAGCTTGTGCATTCGATAAGGATGAATTAGCAGGAAGATGTGTTCTCGTATTAATTTTTAAGTATAAGTTTTAACTTGTTTGATACTAGTTTAATTTATTTTAGTGTATAAAGACAAGATATGTGACACTAAACCATAAAGTTCTCCATGACATCAGCAGTAAAGTTTAGCAGCATCAAAGCGTAATGCCTATAACAATGTATAAACAGAAAACCAACAAGTTAACTACATTCCAACATTTCTCCACGTTAATTCCACGCACGTGCCCGACTGCGCATGTGTTAGAAAATTTTCAAACCTTTAGTGAACATAAAATTAAAAAGAAAATAAAAATCTGGTACGTTTCTCATATCATAAAATGTTACTAAAACTCTAGTTCGAGCCTAAATTATTCAGTAGAAACCTGGAAAGACCTATAGACATTAGAAGGGTTAAAGACATTCAAACTCTCGAAAACTGTAAAGTTGATATCGACTGTATTTTGAATAAGCACCAGTTATGTATGAAAAACGTGTGAACTGAGAGAAAACTAGCATTTTTTCCGCAGTTCACGAGCAGAAAACTACGGTAAAATTTGGGAAGCTGCTCTACTCCAAGATCCTTCAATTATTCCACGTATATTCAGAAAACCCTTAAATGAAACAGGAAATTAGAAAATGTTCGGAGTCGAAATTGAAGATCTTTATACCTGGTAAAAGTTTGGGAAGATTGCAGTCAGATGAAAAATAATGTAGTGAGGATATATGGGCATTAAAGAAACTGGTTTGAAAACCAGCAAAGAGCCTTATAGAAGAATTTTTCAAAAACAAAATATTTCGGTCAGAAGAATCAATGGTATATTGCTATAACGTTAACTGTTAAAATTTCCAAAAGATTTTTACAGAAATGGTTTATCTTAAACAGTGCAAAAAAATGCAATCATCAATGTGTAGGACATACATAGACAATTCTTAGAGAACGTTTCAACAACCATAAATCTTCTATTAACACTGGAAAAGATTTCCCTGTTGCTCAAAACTTCAACCAACCCGATCATTCCGTTAACGATGTTGCTCTCATTGGCTTTGAAACAGGATTCAAAATTAAAGCTGACAGAGAGATAAAAGAAGCTTATTGGATCGCTAATCTAAACAATGTTTGACCTTTTGGAACCAACTTAGATCCCGAAATGAGGGATCTCCGATTATTGGTTTCATCTCTGTCAGAAAAATAATTTTTATTCTTTGCTTATTTCTTTCATATTGTGTGAACCCTATTTTTTCTAAAACTTACTATTTATTTAAGATAATTTTCAATATCTGTTTGTATAAATTAATTAGCTTAACAATTTTTTATCAATCAGTCTCCAGGTGTCACCTTTATTATACTTAAACAATTAAGTATAGTTCTATTTATTTCTTTTTTAACCATTTCTAAAGCAAAATATCCTTTTTACATAACACTCTCATCGCCGATCACATTGTACTGGAAATGAAACACACTTACACCAGTACATGGAAAAATATTGTTACGTCTCCGGTCGTTAGTTAATTTCCCGTATAATTTCTTTCCAATGAAAC